TATACACATAGAGATCTGTCACCAGAATGGCCCAAATTAAATAATTTTTGGAAAGCTCTTAAACTTTTTATTTCACTGTGATTTTTAAAGATACATTTTAGATATGTCTATACAAATGATTTTCTGTTTCCATTTCTTTTTAAGAAGTGTCTTTTCTTGTATGAGCTTGAATAAGATAGTTCCAAATTTGCAATGCTTTTCTAGAACTACATCCTCTTCACTCCGTCTGAAACAGATGATCTATTTAGACTTGTTTTTCTGCCTGCTTACCATGATTCCTCTCCAGGTATGCAGCTCTCAGCTCTGCAAATTGCTTTACAGTGGAGTAAATTGAATGCTGGTTCATTATTGTCACTCAAGTAGCTTCTGCATTTTCTGAATTGCCCTTCGTTTTTCAGTATGATAGCCACTGATACGATTTGCTTATTTTTGGTTTTCTTCTATTTTCAAGTGATGGCATTTAATCCTGCCTTCTGTCTAACTTGGAGCTCCTGGGTTCATTTTGATAAATGTTAATATGTTGTTATTATGGTCTGTGCCAGAGTTTTTGATGCTTAATCGTCTATCATCTGGTCTTTTAATCTTTTTGAGTCTGTGTCTCCTCTCTCCTAATGAGAGTCTAAGTTTCCTGAGGGCAGAGGTGGCGCCTCGTACCTCTTTAATGCCTCCACTGTACCTGCTGCTAGGCAACCCTTCATCACTGACTTGAGGCATAGACAAGCTTTTCTGTGGAAAGTAGTCATTCCCTTTCAGGTGGGTCCTCTCCTGGGGGCTGTTTTTGGGGCCTTTTGGGCTTTTTAACGTCTAGGGTGACAACACAGTCCTGCATTTGAAAATCTTGGTGTTCTTGTCTGAAGGTGGACCTGTCCCAGTGTTCTCTGTCCTGACCTGGGGTTCAGCCTTGGAGCCATCAGGGCTTTGTCTTTCAGGAATGGCTTGCACTCCTCCTCATCAGAGTCATCTTTCTCCAAGCCAGAGTCAGAGGCTCTGTGAACTTGCTAATAATTATATGCAAAGTTTTCTGTGCATATATGCACATTTTTGGCAGAAGGCCTATAACTGGCTCCAAAAATTGTCCAGGGAAGTTGCAGCAGAGGGTAGAGGGATACCGACAGTGGGACTCTTAAAGGCTCCTTGAAGAGCTGAATTGACCCGCACAGGTATTTTCTCCAGGTGTCTAATCATGGACATGTTGCTCTAGACATGCGTATTCTTGGTTTTTTTAAAATGTATTTTAGCTGCCGAAGTTTTGTGCTGCTATTTTGGGAAGGTTGGAAACATAGATAATATTGGTTATGTTTTCTAAGAATAGTTCATGAAATTGTTCTCTCTCAACTTTTTTTTTGCAATGGACACCCAAGAGATGTCATTGTTTTGCTCTAGCTGTGGAAACCAAGTCAAAACTAGGCAGACTAAATGGTCAGGGCAACTGTTCACTTGTTTCTCTTACCTGGTTTTGAAAGAAATGAATCAAAACACCGGAAAGAACATGTACGAGTTGGATGTGAACGCCGACTACGTGGGAATTGGGTGTCAGGTGTGTTCGGAGCTCCATACGGGAAGAGGGCGTGACTGAATGGGGGCGTTTAGTGAACTGTATGGTGCAGGGTTAGTTTCCTGTTGCTGCCATAACAAAGTCCCACAAACATAGTGGCTCAAAATAACATTATTTGATTATTTTACAGTTTTTGTAGGTCACAAACCCAAAATGAATCTCCCTGGGCTAAAGTCAAGACGTAAGTAGGTCTCTGTTACTTCTTGGAGGCACTAGGGGAGAATCTGTGTCTTCACCTTTTTTAACTTTCAGGGGCACCCACATTCCTTGGCTCATGGACTCTGTTAAAAGAAAAACTTAGCTGAATTAAATGTAAAGGAGTTTAGTTGAACGATGATCAATTCGTGAACTGGGCAGCCCCCAGAATCACAGCTGATTCAGAGAGACTCCAGGGATGCCTTGTGGTCAGAACAAATTTATAAACAAAAAAAGGGAAGTGACATACAGAAATGGGAAGTGCGGTACAGAAACAGCTGGATGGTTTACAGGCTGGAGTTTGCCTTATTTGAACACAGGTTGAACACTCAGCAGTGTATGAGTGGTTGAAGTATGGCTGTGGGATTGGCCAAGACTCAGGTGTTACAGGTGCAGACTCCTAAGTTAAGTTCTCAGTCTTGTCTACATATTAAATTAGGTTGTGGTTCATCCACAAGGACTCAAATATAGAAGCATGGAGTCCTTCTCAGGCCATATTTAGTTTGCTTTAACAACTCCTTCATTCATCTTCAAATCCAGCAACAGCCACCGGGTCCTCCTCACAGCTGCCGTTGTTACTGGTGGAAGGTGTCCAGATTTTTGGCATCTTGAGCAAAGAATTGGACAAAACACACAAAGTGAGGAAAGAATGAAGCAACAAAAGCAGAGAGTTACTGAAAATGAAAGTACACTCCATGGGGTGGGATTGGGCCGAACAGCCGCTCAAGGGCCCCGAATACAGAATCTTCTCAGGTCCAAATACCCGCTGGAGCTTTCCCATTGGCCCCTTGGTGTTTACCCCATGTAAATGAAGTGATGGCCCACAATCAGTGTGATTGGTTGTGGAAAGCAACCAATCACAGCAACCAATCAGAGGCTACAGTGAAGTTACAAAGTTACAGCCTTATCCAAACGTCTGATTGGTTTGCAAAAAGCAACCAATCAGAGGTACTTTCAGCTTCTCTACTGCCATGCAGAAAAGGTGAGCGTTTGCAAAGGGTGTAGCCTCTAGTCCTGTTGTTACTTGGGTGTAGAAAATTAGGGTTTTCCTTTCAGTTTAGTTCTAGGAAGTCAGCGTGAATTGGCCTTAGGTTCCCTGCCTCTGGATTCTGTTCTCCTGCCTCACCACCTCTCTGGTTCTCTTTTCTGTGGTCGCATTTCTCTGGAACTACAGCCAGGGAAGGTTTTCTGATTTCAGTGACCCACATGATTAAATAATCCAGGATAGGCTCCTCATCTCAAGGTCCTTAATTTAAGCACATCGGCAGAGTCCCTTTACCGCGTACGTTAACATTCACAGGTTCTGGGGATTAGAATGTGGATATGGGTGGAGGGCCATTATTATGCTGGCCACGGACGTGATCCAGGTGCAGTTAATGCTTGTCCTAAAACAGAGATGGATTTGAATTTATAAGCCTGCAGTGCTAGTCACAGCTGTAGTAACCAGTTGTATAACTTTTTCCTCTAAGCCTCAGGTTCATCACCTGAGATCTTAGTTTTATCTTCTAATTATTAAACATATTAACCATAGCTATTGCAACTCAGGCTGTTGTATACAGCCTGCATTTCTCTTTCAGGAAATCCAGCCACTTCTGAGATTGTTGGAGGCTGATAGCTGTCAGCTGGGCCCTGCTCCAGGAATTGCCCTCAGCTGAACAAAGGCACGTTGCCCAAGGTCACACCCCTCCTCAGGGACAGCCTGCATCCAGTGACTGACCCATGGGGGTAGGGGTTGGGTGGTATAAAACCCTGGCCATTTGGCCTTAACTCTGAAGGGCCGTCCAGCTCCAGAGCTCCCCATTGGATTGGCTGAGGTCTCCATTGCAGATGTGATGCATTTCATCTTCTCCCTCAGCCCAGCCCTCCCTCCTTCACCCCAATATGGAAGAGTTCCCAGGAGCACTCTCTAGCAAGTCTCCTTTACATACCTTTAGAGCTTTAGAGCTTGCTTCCCAGGGAATCTGTTTGAATCCTCTGTAGCCCTTTTTCTGTTGATTGTTGTTTCTTTTGGTTTTTGATTTTGGTTTTGTCTTATTGTATGACTGGCTATTTTAATTAATTATCTATTTTATTTTATTTAGACAGGGTCTTGTTCGGTTGCCCAGGCTAGAGTGCAGTGGTGTGATCATGGCTTGTGGTAACCTCAATCTCCTGGGCTCAAGTGATCCTCCTGCCCCAGCCTCTTGAGTAGCTAAGTCAGCAGGCATGAGACACCATGCCCAGCTAATCTTTACAATTTTTTTTTTTTTTTTTGCAGAGATGGAGTCTTGCTCTATTGCCCAGATTGGTTGGCCATAACTCCTGGCCTCAAGTGATCTTACTGCCTCAGTCTCCCAAACTGCTGAGATAAGAGGTGTGAGCCACCATGCTTGGCCTTATGACTGGCTATTTTTGATTAAATGTTGAACATTTTTCTGTGTCAGATTTTAGAAACTTTGGATGTTATCTTCCTCCAGAGGATTGACTTCTGGCAGGAGTCTGGCTAGCCTAAGAGCACTGACCTGCTCCAATCAGGATTGAGATGACTTGGAGCTTTAGCCTGTGCAGGTTGGTCTAATTCTAGTTTGCCTTTACTCCTGGGCTGTATACCTGTGGGGTTAGTGCTTTACAGGCTCTTCTCCCAGGTGGACCCTGTGCTTGGGTTTTTGTGCCCTGAGCTCCAGGAGTGTGTCAAAGCTCTCATCAGCATCAGCCTATCAGCCACGCTTTCCAGACTGGCAGATGCCTTGAGGTGAAGAGTGACCAGGTGTTGGGCTTCCCCGCTAGGCTTCCTCCTGTCCTGGATCTTGGCATTTCTTCGTTGCCTTGGTAGTTCTCTGAGGCTGTGAAACAGATTCAGGTTATTCCTTTAGTTTTTCTTAGTTGTTATCTGCAGAAGAGTTGGTTTAAACCCCCTACTCTGCTATTGCTGGAAGCTATTTTCTGCTGTATTGTTGAAGTATAATTTGTTTAACCAGTCTTTTACTGTTGAAATAATAGTTTTACTAAAAAGTAAACATTGATGTGTACATAATTTACATTTTTATTGCTTGATTTTTTACCCACTTACAATTATTTCCATATGCAAATTTGAAGTGGAATTGTGTTGAAAGTGTGCGAAAGTCAAAGGCTTTTAATACATATTTCTAACTTGCTTTCCAGACACTGTACTAATTTATACTTTATCAACAGTAGATGAGATCCACTGCCTTTTTCATCTCTATTAAATCTAACTTCATAAATGTGCATGTGTTTCTCTTCCGTCCTGCAGGCACGTGCTTTAACACCTCAAACTGCAGAAACAGATGCCATTCGGTTTCTGGTCGGGACACAGTCTCTTAAATATGATAATCAGGTAACTATTTTTGACAAATGTATACATGATAATTACTAAGCCTATTCTTAGTTTCATAACCATTTTGCTCTGATTTTCCAGCAACATTTGAGAAATTAATGCCACATAAACAAAATAAAACTTTCACTGGATTTAAGTCTATCTTCAGATCAAAGAATATTATCCATCTCTGTGCATCGACTGTGTTCAGTAATTTAAACTTCCTCTGTTTGGCATGACCTTTGTAGTCTTGCTTGGCTCTTGTGGTTATATAGATTTGGTTCTATAAGCAATTGAGAAGCAAGGATATGTGGTCACCACTACCCCTTCTTCTTGGGCCTGTGGATTACTTCTTTAATTGCTCATAGAACTCTTTCTAGGTGAGTGTGGGCTGGTTCACAACCTCATCCTCACTTGATCCAGGCTGTGGGGAAAAGAGAGATCAGACTGTTACTGTGTCTATGTAGAAAGAAGTAGACATAAGAGACTCCATTTTGTTCTGTATTTGAGATGCTGTTAATCTGTGACCCTACCCCCAACCCTGTCCTTGCAAGAGACATGTGCTGTGATGACTCAAGGTTTAACGGATTTTGGGCTGTGCAGGATGTGCTTTGTTAAACAAGTGCCTGAAGGCAGCTTGCTGGTTAAAAGTCATCACCATTCTCTTAATCTCAAGTACCCAGGGACACGTACACTGCGGAAGGTCGCAGGGACCTCTGCCTAGGAAAGCTAGGTGTTGTCCAAGGTTTCTCCCCATGCGATAGTCTGAAATATGGCCTCGTGGGAAGGGAAAGACCTGATCATCCCCCAGCCTGACACCCGTGAAGGGTCTGTGCTGAGAAGAACTAGTATAAGAGGAAAGAAGGCCTCTTGGCAGTTGAGATAGAGAAAAGCATCTGTCTCCTGCCCGTCCCTGGGCAATGGAACATCTTGGTGTAAAACCCGATGGTATGTTCTATTTACTGAGAAAGGAGAAAACCGCCTTAGGGCTGAAGGTGGGACATGCTAGCAATGCTGCTCTTTATGCGCTAAAAAGGTTTATGGAGATGTTTGCATATGCACATCAAGGCACAGCGCTTTTCTTTAAACTTATTCATGTCACAGAGCTCTTTATTCATAGACCTTCTCCCTACGATGATCCTATTTACCTACCACTTCCCTTTTTCTAAGACAGTAAAGATAATGATCTATAAATACTGAGGGAACTCAGAGACCAGTGCCAGCGCGGGTCCTCTGTATGCTGAGCGCCGGTCCCCTGGGCCCACTTTTTCTTTCTCTATACTTTGTCTCTGTGTCTTATTTCTTTTCTAAGTCTCTCGTCCCACCTGACGAGAAATACCCACAGGTGTGGAGGGGCAGGCCACCCCTTCACCAGGCCACTTGATCTGTCACTGCCACTTGATCCAGGCGGGGATACAGATGGAACCTTTTGCTGTCTGGCCACTGTAGCGGACACTCAGGAGATCTAGATTCGGTTCATGGCCTGGCAGTAACCATGTGACTTTGAGCACATGGATTCCCCTTCTGGACTCCATTTTCCTCATTGCTAAAGTGGAGATTAAAATGAGATGCTGTGGTGATTGCGAAGATGTGCGTTGTCTTTGACACCGGGAAAATGTGCGTGAGGCCATGTCAGACATGGTCTAGGGCCTCTGTCCAGCTTACCAGATCACACAGGGGAAATGGCATTCAAATAGCTGTTGAAGAATATGCAGGCCTGGATAGGATATAGTGAAACTGTCACTCTTGTATGTCGATAAAGGTTTAAAATCAGCATAGTTATAACTACTAATTCAGTGATACATCCTTAGAGCTTCATAAATAAATGTTTATGTACTTAATCTGTAATTCCTGTATCCCAAACCTAGAAAAAATCATTATACATGAAGAATATTAGTTATAATGATACTTATAAAAACTTACAAGCAATCAATGTCAAAATGCGTGAATGTTAGGTTGAACGATATGAAGCCACTTGTAATGACAGGTTCATACACTTCTCTCAGGTTGAATCTGGTTACTCAGAGTGAATAGTATTCCCTTATTACACTCGTTAAAAGTTACAGACTCCTAAGAAACATGACAACTTAAGAATTGTTAGGTGATTCGGTGGGGTGTTAACGTTGTGTTTATAGTATGATCACCGCGGTGTGAAAAAGCAAAGTGCACAATTGAATCTCTTCTTGGAATAAAGACTAGAAGGAAATAGGCCAAAAAGGACGAAAAATTGAGCCACGGGTTATCTTCAGATGCTATTCACAGGGTATATGTTCCAAGACCACCCAGTGGATGCCGGAAACCTTGGCAAGTACTGAACCCTAAGCATAATATGCTTTTTCCTATACTTACATATAGGTAAAGTTTAAGTTATAAATTAGGCACAACAAAAGGTTAACAACATAACTAATTAAAAAAGAACAATGATTATTAGTTATGAAAGTTATATGAATGTGGTCTCTGTCTCTCAGAACCCCGTACTGTGCTATACTCACCCTTCTTCTAGTTTTTTTTTTTTTTTTTTTGAGACGGAGTTTCACTCTGTTGCCCAGGCTAGAGTGCAATGGCATGATCTCAGCTCACTGCAACCTCTGCCTCCCAGGTTCAAGCGATTCTCTTGCCTCAGTCTCCTGAGTGGCTGGGATTACAGTCATGCACCACCACACTCAGCTAATTTTTGTATTTTTTTTTTGTAGAGACGGGGTTTTACCATGTTGGCCAGGCTGGTCTCAAACTCCTGACATCAGGTTATCCGCTGGCCTCAGCCTCCCAAACTGTTGGGATGACAGGCGTGAGCCACTGCGCCCGGCCACTCACCCTTTTTCTCGAGAAGATGTGCAATAATACAAGGCCTATGTGATGAGATGAAGTGAGGGGAATGACATAGGCGTCGTGATGTAGCGTTAGGCTATTATTGACCTTCTGAGGATATGTCAGAAGCAGGAGCATCTGTTTTGGGTAATCCGGATCATCAAGCCATACAGTGTTGATGGTTAGATGTCAGGAACAGACAGTGTGGATGGCTCAGGGGCAGGTCTCTTCTGTAGCATGGATATGCTGATCAAAGGTGTCAGGAACAGATAGTGTGGATAGCTCAGGGTATGGATATCCTGATCAAGGGATGGTTCATGTTTCTGGTGGGATGGAGTGGGACGGCTCCAGACTTCACTGCACTACTCAGGATGGTGTGTGATTTAAATTTACGAATTGCTTATTTCTGGAATTTTTCATTCAGTGTTTTTGTGCTACACTTGACCACAGGTAACTGAAACCTCGGAAAGCAGAACCTCAGATTGGGGCGAGGTGGGGGCAACATCTAATCAGGATATAAAATTATTTTCTTTCTAATATTTTGTTTTCAGAATGTGTATATATGTATGTGTGTTACTTTTCTACTGGAAAAAATATAAGAAGGGAATTATTTATTTATAAAAATAGTTACCAATGGCCACCTGAGAAGGAAGGAGGACCCGCCATGAAGATGGCCTGTGGTTTCAGGGATGGCGCCTCCAGGGGAATTGGGGAGTAAAACCCACATGGGCCAAAGAGGCACAGAGATGGGATGGGGGGCACGCCACTCTGCCTTCCAAATGCAGCTCCACAAAGCAGAAGCCAGCAGAAACCCAGGAATTCAACACAAAATGGGGCCATGGAAAGCATGATAGTTATGAGCCAATTACTGTGCACCTGCTCTTAGCCAGAATGTGGTAATGGCATTTCCATTTGGTAATGACATTAATGAAGAATCATTGGTACCAAAGTTATCAAAATAGAGAAATAAAAGAGGCCAGGTGTGGTGGCTTATGCCTGTAGTCCCACCACTTTGGGAGGCCACGACGGGTGGATCACTTGAGATCAGGAGTTTGAGACCAGCTTGGCCAACATGGTGAATCCCTGTCTCTACTAAAAATACAAAAATTAGCTCGGTGTGATGGCAAGCACATATAATCCCAGCTACTTGGGAGGCTGAGGCATGAGAATTGCTTGACAACTGGGAAGGCGGAGGTTGCAGTGAGCTGAGATCACACCACTGCACTCCAGCCTGGGTGACAGAGCGAGACTCTGTCTCAAAAACATAAAAAAAAAAAAAAAAAAAAAGAGTCAGCCCAAAATGACAGAAAGGGTTTTAATCTGCCTTAATTTGTTTTTTGTTTGTTTGTTTGTTTGTTTGCTTTTTGGAATGAAGTAACATCCAATTAATTATTTTAAAGAAGCTTTCCAGTTTTTCTGTTTCCTTTCTTCTAATTTGAAGAGTTCTGCTAATTACTCAAGTTAATTTCCCAGTATCTTATTTTTTGAGTCAACAGTAGGTTTTATTACACACCTCATGTATTTCCACACTTGCCTGCAGTTGTCTGTGTGTGAATCCCTATGATAGGTACGAAGCTGTGTTTTTGACTTGCTGGTTTTGTCTTTCTGTTTCTGGTAAAAGCATGTGACATTATTGAGCTGTTCGTTCATTCATCCACTCAACAAATGCTTACTTCGTAGATTGACAGAACTCTTTAATTCCTCTTTTTTATGTGCTGAGTACACAAAAACTGAACAGATATTTGTGTTCTGAGTTCAGTGTTTAGTGAAATGGCGAAATGGACAAGCAGATACTCACAGTACTGTTAGTATTACCATCTGGTATAGTTTGGCCCTGTCTGCACCTAAATCTCATGTTAAATTGTAATCCCCAGTTTTGAGGGAGGGACCTGATTGGAGGTGATTGGATTATGGGTGTGGATTCCCCCCTTGCTGTTCTTGTGACAGTGAGTGAGTTATCACAGGTCTGATTGTTTGAAAGTGTGTGGCTGTGAAGGCTCCACTGGCTGTGGGCTGCAGCCGGGCCCATGTGCCTTCTGTGACAATAGAATCTGGCCTCCTCCCGCACAGTCGGAAGCCCCCGCCCCTTGCTCTGGAGCTCCAGCTCTCCCGGGGAGTGGTAACTGGGAAGGGTTAATGGCTCCTGGCCTTGCCTCAGGCCCTCACTCCTTTCAGGCAGTCATTAATTCCCTGGAAAGTGCCCGGTACGTGCA